CATTGCCGCTAACTAATAATGTATGGCCGTTTTGCACATCCGACTACTCACTCTGATCCGTCAAAGGGACATTTTAGACGTCGGTGTACCCTTCAGTATTTTGCTTCGCAGTTTATAGTAAAAAGATAATTCTGGAAACTCAGATTTCTAGAATGGTAAGACGTTGCAAGCTTGAGACATTGCAATATTAGCGATGGTTTGTTGCAATAGGCGGATCGTGTAATACTTGGGAGAAATTTTATATGTGAGAAGTAATTGTGATCCGGCGGTCAACTGACACTGTTCAATTTTTGAGACGAGTGTGGTTTGCGCAAAAAAAAAGAAAAAGAAAAATCAATGATCTTTAGTGAAGACGACGGTGTTCTAGTGATAGTTTGTAAACACTGAAGTCAATAAATCTGCTTAAAATAATGACTACGAGTACATGAAAACTGTTGCGAAGCAGTATCTGTGTTAATTTTGGTATGTAAGCGGCTGCGATGGTTTCTGCTGAAAGGGATTGTAGTTTGGAGTGTTTTTCAGTGAATTCCCTTATATGTCGTCAGCCCATCTTTTTGTTATTCTCTTTTTTTTCTGCACGGAGCAGAGTCGGCAGTTTTCAAGGCAAAGAAGAGGTTGCTACAATTACCGATGTATTATAAATACCTTTGAAAAGTTTTTGTTTATTTTTATTTTTATTCGGCTTAACGTTTTGATTTTGCTTTGGACCAATTGTAGGTTGGGATGAGCGTCGTCTGCAGGTGAGGTCTGTTTTTGACACGACTCCGTGGAAAGCACAGATGTATGTCGCGATCCGTGTGTAAATTAAATCATTATTTTCAACTTTTATTTATCGTCATATCTGTGCCATATCTAGTGGACTGTGAAAGAGATTTTAGCTATGAAATTCTTGATTTAACAGGTATTAAACAAAATTAGGTTTATTTAATGTTATATAGTGGCGTTTGTTATGGTTGAGGTCTGAAAATATTTTGCTTAAGCCCGCTAATAGTGTTAGTTTTCGTCTTCACTTCCAAAGAGTTTTGCGTTTTTTGTCGGTTATCTTTGTTTTCCAGTAAATGTCGGCCTCTTACTGTTTAATTTTTGGAGATTTAAGAACAGTAGTTTATTATTCTGCATCAAACAATTTATAAATTGGAATTTCTCAAAGAAGTGGTGGTAATTATTTGTTTACTTCCCCTGAAAAAATGCCGATTTTATCTAAATAAAGATCATTTTTTGGTCTTCTCATATGGGTTCCTGAATGCTATGAAATCTGCAACCTTTTCCGAACTACACTGTTCACGTGGGTAAGTACAATGTCTTTTTTATTTGGTTTTCCATTTTCTAGTTGATTTTATTTTTCTAAAGATGTTTAATTTTATATTTGAGGTTGTAGGGTTACCTTATATTTTTTTTTCTCAGTAATTTACCTCAGCATTTAATTTTACAAATGTTTTAAAGAATTTACTCAGTATAAAACTTGTAATTTTTGAAACTTGGATCACTACTTCAACCGAGTGGCCCCTTTAGTTCACGTTTTTGACGGTGCTGCTCAGACTGGTCATGGTTTCATCTCAGTTTTCCATCTTACAAAAATACTCTGCTGTTATTAATCTGATAAAACTTCGTTGGGGTCTACAAAAAGTGCAGTTGACTACCGTTTTTATATTGGTGTTGAAATTTTTTGTGTAAAAGTAACCATTAAAAATGGCTATACTGTAACTCTTCTAAACTTTCTTACTGTTGAATTGTTACTTCACGTTAAAACTGGTTGGTATGAAATACGTTTCGGTTTTGTTACGACAACTTTTATGACGAATTTTTGGCAACAGCGATATATTTTTGCAATGTTGATTAAAATAACAGATTGTTTGTGTCATGTAAATTAAGTTACTTTTGGTGGAGGAAGCAACTGTCATTGTTTATTAGTTCTGGAGTTGTGTTCTGAGCGGTAATCAGCAGCAAACCACCATCGGATGTCTTTTTAAGTTGACACTGCAACTAGATGAGGGGACTTTGGCTACTGGTTGTTAACGTGTCACTGGTGGACTTTGCATAGGGCATTGGTTACGCACCGTTATGCTGACGAGTACTAAAATTTTGTTTGGTTTATTTGTTACATAGCACACAGTGGGAGTTGTGTAAAACAAGTTTGCGAACGTTCTTCCTTAAAAAGCTGCTGTAGATGAAATTCACTAGAATTAATGGTGGTATGAGGCACTGGATTTTTATCACTTTTTGGCTACAGCCGCAGTTTATCCTGGGCTTATGGATTTGTGCTTTTTATCTGTTGTTGAGAAAAACTATTGCTGCTGTTAATAGTTGGAACAGATTTTACAATAATGGAATTATGAAGTTCCTATTAAGAGTTATAGGTGCATGTTTAATATGTGCAGTATAATGGTTTCTTGCGTGGCATCTGTCTTTCTCACTAGGTGACTACCGTGGTTTTTCCTAATGATTAGTCAAATTTCGTTATTTTGTCGAATTATAGGTCTTACTTTAATCTATTTAATATTAAATTATTTTCCTAAATTGTTTCATTGTTTGACAGAAAGTTTTGCAACTTTTATGCTTCTTTTTTTTTTTCAATTTTTTAATTTGAAAAGTGCTCAGCCTCACGTTAAGGTTCTATTTCTGGCTGTAGGATGAAAAAACTTTTTATTCGTTAACCTTTTTCCTCTAAAGCAGTAGGCGAAATTGACGAAATAGTTTTTATCGTTTCAATTTGTGAGTTGATCTTGAAATTTATGTTGCTTTTTCTGGTGCTGTTAGTCGGGTTCCAAAACTGTCAGTAATTCTTTAGATGTTTTTAATGCTGTGGCAACATTTTTTTTTTTTTTTTTCTGTAAAAGTGTAGCCTAGTTGCAATAATTAGGAGGACGTTTGTAACAGATTCTTTTCGCTGACTTTCAGAAAACAATCAGTGACCGGAAAGGTTTCAAGTCTGACAATTCTCAACTTACTTTTGTTTCTCAGTTCACGGTTGAGGATTACTGGTCCGTTTAAATTTCAAGTGTCGCATTGGTCTCTTCCTCATTCGCTTCGTTGTGCGCAAGTAAGCATAGTTTAAATTAGGATCTGCCATTGAATTTGCTGAGAGAAGTGCTAATGTTACGAACAGGTAGTTTTGAAAAACTTTTACAGCGATTTGGTGAGGGTGTGAAGGTAGTGAACCCAGTAGTTGGAAAATTTTCATTTTGCAAGGTCGTTTTAGAGGATTTTCTTGTATCTTTTATTTGCGACCATACTTTTGTATCTCTGAAAATTTATCCAGCACCATCTTTAGCAAGTTAAGTGGCAAATGAAACTGAGATTTTTCTAAAGAATTATTTTCTAATAGGGAGACATTATTTTATTTTCTTTTAGAAATTTGTACTCGTTTCAAAGCGATAATGTTTACTCAAAGGAGTCGTAGACAACAGAACTATGGGGTATATTTGCTGGCTTATCATTTGCTTAACAGTGAATACATACCACCAGTAACGTTGGGAACAATTCTTTTTCAAGTTGCCATTTTTCTTGGTTATATACCGGCGATTGACCAGTGGAAAATAAGTGAGTATATCTTGTTTATTCGAATTCTTTTTTTACAATTAGTAGAAATGTGCTGATGTTTATGCGGTTGTAAAACTTTTACTTAACTTTCAATTTTTTTATAATAGGAGAAATGTGTTTGCTACCGTCAAGAATTATATACAGGCGGGAGTGGATTCGTCTACTGGCTTCTACGGTGATTCATGCAGATGATATGCATCTATACTACAACATGATTTCTTTCCTGTGGAAAGTGAGGATATTTGACTTGTTAAAATTTTTATCAGACATGCAGATTTTGGCACTTTTTTATTTAGTATGTGGTCTATATCTTTTTGGTAGTCAGGGCTGCTTGTTCTGCTTGTTCGACTCAATTGTTAATGTTCATACATTGACATTTAGGGGCGGCGTTTGGAGTCATTTTTAGGACCTTTGAGATTTTTAATCCTAATTAGTGTATTTATTGTCAGTACCGGTGTTTGTGTGGTTATGTTGAGTTACTTGTTGGAAGTAATATTAGGTTTTCATGCGTTGCAACTGATGAGTCAGTGTGCTGTTGGTTTTTCAGGTAAATCTTTGTTTTAATCGGTTTTTTTTTTGTTAAAGTGCACAAAGCTGCAGTGTATTCCGTTTTGAATGGACTCTTGTATTGCTTTTTTAATTTCTTTACAATCTAGGTGTTATCTTTGCCCTCAAAGTACTTCACAATTACTATTTCCCATACACCGACTCATCATTTCTTGGCTGGTTCCCGATTCCTTCACGTTACACATGCTGGGTTGAATTGTTATTAATTCAGGTTATTCTATAAACTGCTTCATGTCATAATTAGCCTACTGCAGATAATTGAAGGAGAAATTTTAATTATTGTATTATTGAGTAGCTGATTTTTTCAGGTTTTGACTCCAAATGCTTCGTTTATAGGGCATCTAGCTGGAATCATTGTCGGGCTTCTGTATGTAAATGGTCCTCTTAAAGCTCTGATTTGTTGGCTGGAAAACCTTACAGCAATTTTACTCGGTAAGTTGGACTGGTTAGTTTTTTCTGAAGTATAATTAGTTTTCAAAATTATTTTAGTTTTTGAGCATGATTTGACTGTTTTTTGCAGTGTCAGTTCTTATTTAAATTGGATACATATTTGCAATTCCCAATCGGTTATAGGAGGTGAAAGTAATTGAATTTTTGGAATTGGCGGTGGCTGTAAGGACTTTTTGTGAAGATCCACATTCAGAGTAAGGGCAGGAGTGATTTTTTTGCTTGTGGGCAATACACAATAAGGGAAGCGAAAAGTTGGTAATGGATGCAGGGGTTGAAGAGACAAAGGGGAACTGCGACTTGAGAGCTGTTTCTTTCTGACAAAACTGGAACTAGCAGTTTCCAAAAATAGGCTGATTTTGCATAAAAACCTAATTTTTACTTTGGCGAGAAACAATTGAAAGAAGCATAATTTGCAGGCAGCCGGGGTAGTGGACTTTTTTGTGGTTTAAAGTGTTTTGTTGAATTTTGAATATGTCATATCACTTTTGTTATTATGACATGTTTCAGGTATACGGACTGATCGTAACCGTTTTTTTCAGACAAGAAGGGACGGATCTCATTTTTGGAGTTTTGATGCATCAGAAGAAAGTTAGTTTAAGTTCTTTAGCTCCTAAATACTTCAGAATTTGTTTACTTGCAAAACTGGCTTTGACTGTAGCAGTTTACAACTTTAGGGAATTACCTTCAAAAAGGGTAAAGTCCTTCAACATTTCTAAATTGGTTTCTTTGAAAGTATTTTAGGGGACTATTCGGAATTTACTGCTGGAATGAGTGAAGAAGAGCAACTCAGGTTTGCTCGTGAGGAAAGTCTACGAAGACGGTACCAGAACTCCCCAACTGCTCCTCCGTATCCACCCTATTAAAACCCTCAGACAATGACGTCATCAATTTAAAATTTTAGGTTTTTATTTTTTAATACTAAAGTACGTATTACTCTATCAAAGAAAATAACCAATTTCATTTTTCGAACTGGACCTTTCGTGATTAGTTATTTCTAAATTACAGGTGGGAGGGGGTAATTCTGAAATGTATAACAATCTTTATGCGTATAAATGTTTTTTTTTTGTTTTTTAGTTATGATTTATTCTTCTTTCTGTGAGCCTGACGAAACTGATCTGACAGCGAATTGAGCTGTTTAGAATAAAAGTAGTGAGGCAATAGCAGTTATAAGCTGTTGAACAGCAAAATAAAAATACTATTTTCCAATTTAAGATTTTAGTTCTTCTGACTAAGAGTTCTTCATTACCGGTAAAACATTTCTTTTGTAAATTTTTATCAAATAGGATTTAAATGTTGTTAACGCTTCAATTAAGTTTGTTTATTTTTTTCCACGATTACCTTATTTTTTTTTTGCCCAATAACGTCTTGTTAATGGTACACATATCAAGCGTATTAGCGAGGATGCGTTGCCCTTAAGTTGTTTGAAGTCGGTATGTTCGAGTAACGTTCATAAATCGTTGAATGGGGGGATGGTCACAATAAGTAAGAATATCAATGCAATCAACACGATGCTTTATTATTTAATGGCTATTGGTGGGTTAAAAACAAAAAATGAATAGAAGATGTTTTTAAAAAAATTAAACATCTGAATTATATGTTTCAGATGCAAGAGTTCATGTTTTAGGAATGTCGAAGATAATTATGGAATTCAGTTTGCGCACAGCATTTCAAGATTGATATGTTGATGAAAACTTATTAATGGACTTTAGAGTTCCTGACATTTACAAAACTTATTGACATCAAGAGTGAGGTAGTTACCTCCATTAAGGAGGATATTTGATGGAGTTCATATGAACCAGGTTGGCTCTGAGAGTATACACTGTGGGTCTTTCGCATTTCATTTGTAGATAGCGTGTAATTTACCTACCCGCCTGGAACATTTGCTAATATGTACATATTATAAGATCGAACCTTGGTGATAACCTGAAATGCAAGAAGCGCTGGTGTTTTTAAGTTACAATTTTTATAATATAGTTGCGGAAAGCGAAAAATATTAGAACTGTTAAAAAAGGAAGAAATTTACACTATTAAATTTATTTCTTAAATTTGTCATATTCCTGGTGGTGGAGCGCAGGACCATGCGATCGGCCTTGTCGAACGGATTTTAATCGGACTAGTGGGTCACTCTCCTCCTATAAATATCTACCAATTCAAGACTGGTGCGTCTGAAGAAGGAAGGTTAGAAATGCGGTTGAGATAAGGGGCAAAATTTGTTAGGTGAGCAGATGATGGTTATTTGCTTTTTTCTTTCATTTCTAGTAATTAACAGTTTCATTTGAATCCAAAATCTTTTGTTATTTTAAACGCAAGAAAGTTGATGGTTAACCCTTTTATAACCATTACGGTACTGAAGGAAGAATATTTCGTGAATCTAGGTAGTTCTGAAGGTGGACTTCTAAAACGTACAAATTGTAACATTTTTTGGAACTCTGTTTTATAGTGTCATATCCCTTAATTCTTGTTCTTCATGGGTTTTTACTTCTAAGAAATCCGTTATTCCTAGAGTTGTTGCAAGGTCTATTAAAATACCTTTTTGAAAAGTTTTTCTGGACTGCTTTTTGAATGAAGGATCTTTTCACGCGTCCATCGTGGTTTGGATGATGTGTTTGGGCTATCGGAAGTTAAAGTTCGCCTTAAAGAACGTTGAGTTAGCACGTGACTGGTCAAACTTTCAATTTTTTTAATAATTTCGATAAATCTTGCAACCTTGCATTTAGACTAATTGTCGGGTAACATTAATCTAATTACCTTCGCATTAACGGATTATTACATCTACTCGCTGAATTAGTTTTTGCATTTTCACTGTACCGTGAATACAAGTAACTGCCTGAAAATCCTTTGCATTTAATGCTGTTGGAGGTAGTCGCTAAACTGAATAAGTATTATGCCTATCGAAAAAAGAAGGGCACTGAATATTATTAATTTGGTGAATATTTTCTTCTCTCAGGTTCACATTTAGTTGTGCTTATTTACTGGTTAGTATGGTTTTCTGTACAAATTCATCTACAATACGATTGTAACAAGTGAATATTTCAGGTGGATATGGTGTTGTCATTCTCAGTGAGAGAGTTGTCATTCTTTTCGTTATTCTCGTTTTTCTATTATTTCTTTAATGAGTAGTTTTCTTTATTAATTTCGTTTTTTTGTTTCGTTTATTTCACTTTTTTTTTCTTGGCTCGGCTTTTTACAATGAGCAGCGACCGAGCTTTTATCTGTTTTAAGGGCTTTTTTCGTCTTCGCGCAGAAGAACAGTGATTTAAGAAGGATGTGTGGAACAAGCTTAGGAGCATTCCACTTATAGGCGGCGTCGGTTCTAAGGCAGTGTGAAAATTCTTTTGTTGCGGAACCAAAATCACGATGATGCGGTTGGCTAGCAACTTACAAGAATGCTGAATTGATTTCAAATTCAGCCCTTGTTTACCTAGCTTATTCTTAGAAAACGCGGATTTTTTGACATCTTTACTTTTTCCAGAATTATACCTACCTGTTTTTCTCTTTCCTATTGGTTTTTATAGCCCTTGTTGAGTTATTAGCTGAGATGTGACGTTGGGGCTGATTTTCATTATTACTAGTTTTGTTACTTTTTTTTGCAAAAATGAATTTGTTAAGGTTGGGGGATTTTTTTTGTTTTGTTTTCTACATAGACATTCAAAGGAGTGTGTTCTTAACAAAGGTAGAATCTCTTAGTGCGGTATCTATTCTGGTTCCTTTTTTAGCAAAGTTATCATTAGTAAATGCAAATAGGTTGGTTCTTCGCGTGATCGACTAATTTTTCTGTTCAATATTTGGTGTTGGTCGAGTATTTGTAAAGAGTTTGCTATTGTTGTGCTTGCCGCAGTTGTGGCTACGTGCTGCTTGCTGAATTTTTTGCACTTTTTTGTTCTTTGCAAAGGGACGTGCAAATTAAGGTAAAAATTATTAACCTCTGAATCGCGTTCTAGCGAGTACCTCAGCAAGAGCATTAGATTTTAGCAAAATTCAGCAACCCTCACCTAGTCACTAATATGATGAGCAAAATGACGCCAAAGCAATTCCAGAACTCTCAGGATTCGTCAGAACGCTTTATTTTAGACTTACACCAGCGTTTTGCAGCAGCGATCAGCAAGAGCCACTACCGAATTCCTCTGACTTACACAGAGAAGGACTAGAAGTGGGCTCTTCTGTGCTGATAGGCACCGAGGTCGGTCGGATAACCAAATCAGAGATGAACTTGCCTATAGATAGTTGGCACACAGGGGACGCCCCTTTTGCCGTTCACTACGGTCGAAAAGTTTGACCGAATTTTTGGGATTTGCTTTATTCTTTAGTCGTCAACTTTCGCAGAATTACTGAAGAAGAATTGATATAAACGCTTAAAAACTGGTCATTTTTGTTTACTCCATTAAATACAGTGGTACAGTGGTCTGCAGACGCGACTGAAGAGCAGCTGTCTAACTGTAGCTTAAAATAGTGAATTTCTATTTTCACGTTTCGGTAGAAGAGGTAGATGAAGGGGTTTTTTTCTTTATATTAATTTTTGGCGAAATTTACACTTGAAAAGTACGGTGTGACAAGTTTAAAAATGGAATTTGAACTAGAGGGAAGAGTTCATTGCAATTATAGAGTTTTTTACTAAATTTGTTTCCTGGCCAGTAAAACAAACAAGTGTTTGGTAAACGAAAAGAATTGTTGAAGTTGATCAAAATAAAAAAAGCATAAAAGGAAGAGGTTTTATATTTTCTAATAAAGATCTTTGGAGGAGCTAAAGGAATCATTTTAAACGAAAATTTGCAAATGAAATTTTCTAAAAAAGGAGGCAGCATAGATACTTGGAGTCTAAATGATAAGAGCATTTGTGTCAATTAGTTCTCTGACTCTGTGTAGCGTAGTTCAAGCGAAAATTTGATTTTAGGGCTTGGAAGGCATTAAGACAGCTACGTTAGTATTGGTTGCTTTGACTACATGGTTTTTAAAATGGTGTCCTGAAATTTGCTTGTTCCACTTGAAGTCAGAAGGCAATAACGATTAGAAATAAACGGGAGAATTTTTCACTTAAGTTCCTCGTTATTTTCGTTGTCTCAACGTTCCGCTTTAGTTCCATTTTCACTCTAACATTTATGGTTTACTAAGTGAAGTTGGGAGCTGACTACTTTCTTGGAAATTTTAAGTAACATACTTCACTGAGGATCGTATTCGTCAGATTGCTATTGATGTAACTGACGATTATTTTGTAGGGAACAATTTTCGGCCGCAAACTGGAAGCGCAATTGAGGACTGAACGGAGGGGTACAATTGCGTTGACATAGCGTTGGATGGGAAAAGAAAAGTATCTGAGAATATTATTCCTTTCAAAAAAATTCCGCGAAGCTTACTCAGATTTCCTTGGGCTTATGTTAATTGTTGTGTAGTTAACAATGTTTTTTTCATCTGGCGATACATATATCGCGGTTAAATAATTTATGTAAATCCTGTTTATCTTCAGCGGGATTCGTGGTGTAAAAGAATGTTTTTCTAGGCTGATTTTTTCTTCAGCCTCTCCTCCCCCCTTTCAATAAAAAAAATATGTATTGAAAGCAAGCACGGTAGAATTCAAACAAACGTTGTTACTTCTACTCTGCAACTCTGCTGACACACATAGTGCTCGTTTTACTTGACCTTTGTTGAAAAATATATAAATCCACGGATTTACGCATGAATTAAGGTTACCAAGTATCATGCAGTAAGTTAACAGTGTTCTACCTAAAACTTGCAAACATTCAGTCACGGTTGAGTTATCGGCTGTGCTATAGGTAACGTTGAGTGAGTCTTTTGTTTCTGGTGTTGAATTGTAATTGGCGTAAAAATTAAGAGTGATTTTTTACTTATTTTAAAAAAGAAAAAAAAATCTTTTTAAATTTGCAGTTTAAATATTATTTTTTTGACTACCGGATAACTGAAGTTATGCTTACTTATCAGGCCTTCATTAAGCGCATTAATAACGTTGCCAATACAATATGGAGCATATAGCAAAAAATTGCAAACTACGATTGTTAAGGTTAGCCGCACAGTTTGCATGCGTTTTTTGTCAAATTCTGATATCTGACGGCGTAACGTACTTTTACGTAGTCCATCTACATAACACTGTGTTTGAAGGCTGAAAAAGAATATAGTTTATACGACTTTAATGGTCGGGTGTGCCGAAAAATAGAGAGGAATTAAACAGAAAGCTGCTTTTCTAATTATAATTTAGGGGAGGCTGCTAATTAGCTCGTTAAAGCACTTACTACTTTAAGTTTGTGGTAGAGTTCTTTTTTTCAGCTGTTTCTGGTAACGGATCGGTGACACGTGATGACCAAACAGCACGACAAACTCGGTAGTAAAGAAACGAAGTGATCAGTGATGGTAACAGCCAAGCAACTGCGTTAAAGCTGACAATATACCAGAACTTTTTAACCTTCAACGGTGTGGCGCCGTATGATCGATGTGAGAACACTGTTTGGCAGCATGTAATATTTCTGACCTTTGTCACTAATATACTAAAATTGCAACAAAAAACTGTTTTTTTTTCTTGGTTTTTCAATAACCTTTAGTGTAACATCAATTTTGACCATTTGTGTGTGCACAAGAAAAATAAAATAATAAAAAAATTTTTCTTTGATGCTCTTTTTCTGTTTCTTAGCTTCTTCTTCAAGAAAAAAAGCATAAATTCAAGATGAAAGGGCCAGATGGAAATGTATTGGAAAGGACAGAATAATGGTAGCTTTCGTTTTGGTTTATATTTTGAATCTTGAATTCGTTGATAGATCAATTGCAAAAGAAAAGCTATTAAATTGTTATGTGGGCAAAAAAACATCAGCAGGAATACAGACAGAAGAGAACGATATTAAAAGATAAAAAATCAACATTTACGTAGTGAAAAAGTGGACTAACCCCTTTTCCCAGATATAATATTGAGGAATAGAACATATGAAAGCTAAGCTCCAAGCAATGGTTGCTAATAAATTCGGCATTTGATATCCATTTGCACGATAATGTGCTAACGGACGACATATTGCCTGAAAAACCAGACCACTCCAAATAATAACAGTAATGACTTTCAAAACGCTAAAACAGTATTACAAAATGGAAAAAAATTGAACTCCCCAATTAGCTGATCTCCATTCTTTTTCACATTTTTAGACACTGCAGTCACATATCAGAAAAACCTCTCAAGAAAAACAACCCCGTTCCTGTACTCTTCATTTCTGCATTTTCAGTCCACGAACTTCTGATTTCATAATTGCTTTAAATTTGCTATCTGCCAAGATTTACTAATTTTGTAACAGAACGATAACATTTTGATTTATTGGTGAGAACCTTTAAACTAGCATTTCTGTTTGATTTTTCTGCGATTATTTTTTTTTATTGCTTTCATCTTTCAATATGTAATCAGCTATTTCCAGTACTTTCTTTGAAATAAAAAAAGCAGTAAATGCTGCAAAAAACCCGTCTTACTGCGCTAAAAAGTGGTCTGTAAACACTTTTGTTCATTTACTCTACTTAAAAAAAAACTGTTATGCAGTGCAATCAACAAAAGAAAATTTTTTAAATTTTATAAGCCAAATAACCGGCTTAATATAAAAAAAATTTCCAAAAAGTTTTTAAATTACTTGAAAACGATCAGCGCTAATTGCGACCAGTAGGAATGGACTGGCATACAGCGGAAATACCTGCAGAAACTTCATTACTGGACACAGCCATTCAGCAGTATCGTATTTGTACAAAATTTCAAGTTCCACAATTCCAGTACCCATTGCCAAAAATGCAAATAGCAAATCAGCAACGCATGTATGTAGCAGAAGGAACTGAAATTGGTTATTTTAGTACAACTAGTTTTGTTCATTGTGGTATCAGGCAGCACAAGCGGTACAGTAAAACTTGAGCAACTGAACAGTGAGTGCAGAACTGAAGCTGAATAAGGATAACGGATAATTGCAGCTGGCGCAATGCAGATATAAAAAAAGATGCAAAGCAAGAACGTCAAGACTATCTAAAAGTGTTTTAAAAAAAAGTCAACAGTGAAATTCTCTGTTTATGATTTCTTGTGGTTCTAAAAATGGTAAGATAATAGTTCACTTTTCTCTGCATTTTCGTTTGCTTTTGGTGACAGATCTGCGACTTTGGTAGCGGACAAAATATAAAAATACCTATGCGACCAAATAGTTTTTATAAAACTCTTTTTGATTCAATTACTTCTCTTTCCTTTCTGCATCATTTGTTAGCTGAAAGTATCGTCAATTAAGCTCAATACTCTTCATTTCTAACCTCATTCTTCTAGTTTAATAGTTTCCTTAAACTCAGTTTTCTTCTTGTGACAAAAAGGAAAAGCAGAAAATCAAAAAATTGCACCTTAGGCTTTTTGCTCTCACTTATTTTGTTCTCTCTTAAAAGTCTGCTTCGGGAAAAAAGTGATCTACCGAATTTTATATTTAGAGTGCACTTAGCTTGTTTCAGCAAATTTAGAACGATAAAGAAAAAAATCTAACAGACATTTTATCTCATTAATACTTCTTTTTGTATTTTTTATTTATTTATTCATTTATTCTTTTTTTTTTTTTGGAAGGGAGGAGAGGAAAAGAGGGGAGGCAGGAGGAAAGAATTCTCAATTTATTGACTAATGTCTGCAGTCGAGAAAAATAGAAGTCCAATTAATTTGTCCAATTAAATTACTGCTGAGACAGCGGCTTATTTGTCACTTAAAGTGTATTAATGTGAGTTAACTTTTGTGTAACTCGTTTTATATTTTGTTAGGAAAAAGCTTAATACTGATGACGAATAAGCACTTCATCTCCCTGATATACATTTTTTTTTAGCATCAGGTTCATATTTTATCGAATTCAAGAAGGAAAGCCTAAAAATTTGAGATAGATATTTAAGCACCAAATAAGTTATAATTGAAAAAAGTGTTCTAATGCACTTGCTTCGTTTCTGATTTTGCTGAGACCAGCAGCAACCTCAGAAACAGCAGATACAGATGCTTTTTGATTTTAGCATCGGCACAACACGGTCTGTTTGCTACATGCATCGGGCTATAAACAGACGCCAACCTGAACAGGCGACAGTTTTCGTCTGCTAACAGCATTACCACGAACGATAATCAGCACCAGAAAAGCGTTACCGAAGATGGCCAACACCATTTCAAGACCCATTTCACCCGCATAACTTTTTGTTTGCCCATACATTTTTCTCTCTTCTTACTTCCTCTTCCCGGTGTTTTCCTGCAATCAAATATTTGTAAACTGATAAGCCAGCTTGTAGAATATGTTGTTTTCATTACCACATCATTTCTTTTTCTCGCTTCACTACATCACTGAAGATTTCCTCGAAGAGGAAGCCGCGGAAACGCGCATATATACAAAATAATACTGACAAAATTAATAAAAATAGAAATAAGAATAACAATAGGAATAACAATAATAATAAAACTAACAATAACAATAACAATAACGATAACAGTGACAATGACAATAGCAATAACAATAACGACAACAATAGAAATAAAAATAATAAAAATTAAAATAATAATAATAATAATAATAATAATAATAATA